AATACACATCATGTCTGGCATGGTAAAATGTGTTTAACTAGTTTGAACTTGAAGCACCCGAGTTTTAATTGGTTATTTGGTTTTTTAGTTAAAAAAGATGTGATAATGTTAATAGAGTGGCGGAGTCCGAAGCGGACTCTGAATAGAGCTAAATGTAAGGATATGATTCACGTAGTCTTGCGAAAAGTTTGGATAAAGGCTTTGTGGTGTACTTGGCAATTTGCTAGAGTTTTATCAGTTCCTTTTCTGCATGCATCCTGTGCTTCTTGACTATGAAATAAGTCAATAACTATGCACAAGTACATAGAGTCAATGTATTAAATATCGAAAATATTGGATGACCAAAATCCATATCGGGTTGTGGAAATTAGGGATATATCGGGGATATGCAAAAATATTGGGTGTCATATTAGATGATATTCATATGTAACATAACATTGGAATATGTAATCAAAACATATTTAATGTATTCTAAACATACAAAATTTCATCATGAATAATGATATACAATGTTTAGAGACATTAGATATAGCCATATAGGTAGAGGGGTGAGAGAGAGAGAAGTTGAGAGAAGATTGAGTTTGAGTTATAGATGGATAAGATCCTTTAGAGGCGTTGTTAAGCCCTCGATAAAACAAATTGGATTTTGAGGGAGTGATGAACGTGATGTACTGAAGGGTTCATTTTAATGTATTTTAAACATAAGAAATTATATCATGAATAATGATATACGATGTTTAGAGACATTAGATATAGGTAGAGGGGTGAGAGAGAGAGAGAGAGAGAGAGAGAGAGAGAGCGAAGTTGAGAGAAGATTGAGTTTGAGTTATAGACGGATAAGATCCTTTAGAGGCGTTGTTATGCCCTAAATAAAATAAATGAGATTTTGAGGGAGGGCTGAACGTGATGTACTGAAGGGTTCATTTTAATGTATTCTAAACATAAGAAATTGCATCATGAATAATGATATATGATGTTTAGAGACATTAGATACAGGTAGAGGGGTGAGAGAGAGGAGAGAAAGAGAGACAGAGGGGTCTGAGGAGGAGTTGAGAGGGAGGGAACTGGAGAAGAGAAAGAGAGAGTGGGGAGAGAGGGGAGAGATTCATACCTGAGATAGCCTAGTGTTTTTGAGCTGGAGTGCCGAACAAAGAGGGAGGAGAAATATGAGATTGATTAGTATTTAAATAATTTAGGTTTGGGAATTTATTAAGTTTTTGGATCTGGTGGGAATCAGAACCAAACCCAAACTCAATAACCCTTTTCATTTAGATATTAGCCAATATCGGCTGATTTTTCCTCAATGAAATATCGGTCGATGTTTCCGATATATCGGAAAAAAGTAATAAAAATCGGAAAACGATATCTTTTCATAAATATCATATGGGAAGGGCATCAAAACCGATATATCGGCCAATATAGTAATATATCGGCCGATATTTAATACACTGCATAGAGTGAAGAATTGGGATAAGTGATGCAACTATTTAGTGTCTTAAATTAATGGTATTTTGGTTGCCCGCTGATGATACTTCATTCTGGGTCCTTTTTCCTTTTGTCTGATGTGATCCAACCTACTCAGTAATTTTCCAACTTCAAAGCACAGAATTTGGAAGGCAAAGCTTAGATTGACTATGCATTTGTTAAATGGCATAGTTTATATAGTTATTTTTGCATAATGGCTGGTCTACTATCATGATTGTAACTAGCTTTGTTGAATATAAGGAATCAGTACTCACAAATTATCTATATAATTAGCTTCTTATGCTGATAAGATCAATATGAAAATTTGGTTTTTCTGCTGGCTGCCAATGTGAGATTAACAAGCTGCGTTTTTCTTGATTGGTAACTGACGAGCGAAGTTGCGGTATACTTTCATTTCTGTTATAGTTTTATTATTACTATTAGTTTCTGTTAATTTCATTGACCATAATCATTCATATTAGACCGTCCTACTTTTAGATGACTATATTTATTTTTCTTGTGAAAAATAGGGTAATTGTGGTTTTTTGTACTAGCTAACAGTGTATCTTATCAGCTCATTGTGGCCTTTTAGCACCCTTGGCTGGCCAGATGTCTCTGCTGAAGATTTCAGGCAGTTTTATCCAACAACCATCCTTGAGACTGGGTATGTTTCTGAAACCTACTTTATGTGGCATGTTTTCCACTTTTTCCTTTTATGCCCTCCAATTCTTATTGGCAGAAGTTTTTGTAAAAATGTGTATAAAATATCAATGAATTTAGCGCCGCGCTTATGTTTAGGTACTTTCTTTTCTGATAATCTGCATGAAGTGGTTCTTCACCTCTTTTGGTTGGACCATCATAAGTTAATAGAGGTACTTTTAACTAAAAGCTATAAGGATGGATCTCTCTGAGTATAGAATGCCATCTAGTACATGAATCGCACTAGACATGTATGGTTTACTCGTGTAGACTTAGTCCCTCATGGTGTGGAGATAAGTTCCGATTTTGACGTTGGTTTCATTATATAGTTTTGATCAGATTTGTTAATTTTGCTGATTATCTATATCTTTATCCATTTTAGTTCATTTTTTAAATACATGAGCTGTACATTATATGTATTTATATAGCCTTTCAGTTACGTTCATATGTATGTAGCCTTTCAAACATTGTAAATGATTTAAATATAAAATCTGAAACTTTATACTGAAATATTATTTGAAAAATTGGAAGTGAATTTCTGACCATGAGAGTAATATTATAAAAGTTGAGGTTGGTTTGTCCAACATGGGAAACAATGTAATTATATTCTATTTAATTTTTATAGATAAGAAGCTGACTTTCCCTTTTAAAGGTCAAGTCATTTTCCCAATTTAGCATGATTCGGATAATATGACCTATGAACAGAGGATATATGCTACAGTTTAACAAATATCTGTTTAGTTTATCATTATTGTCGTTGATCATGAGCCTATATTATCTTTGCCAAGCTGACTATAGAACCAGCTATTTTAAGATAAGTTTGTGCAGTCTATTTAAGAACAGTGATTTCTCTTCGGTTGCAATGGAAGTTTCTTTCTAATTTTATCTTTGGAGATAGAAGATCCATATAGTTATGGAGGCTTGACATTGCGAAACGTGTATACTTTCTTCTCTGATGTTTTCCGGAGTATACCAACCAAAATTGATTATAATATTGTATATTAACATATTTGAGAATAAATTTGATATTGCATGAGAAAAATATCTGGGAAAAATAATCAGTTTTACAACTAAAATCTGAAAGTTTATTTTATGCCTCATAAAATCTAGTTCTACCAGATCAAAACAATGTTGTTGCTTTTTAAAATGTTTGGAGATTTTATCATTAATCTCGACTGCCTGGACTTACTTCTGTCTTTTGACAGACATGATATTTTGTTTTTTTGGGTGGCTCGCATGGTCATGATGGGGATTGAGTTCACCGGCACCGTTCCATTTTCCTATGTTTATTTGCATGGACTTATTCGAGACTCTCAAGTGAGTACTAGAAAATTTTTCACTTTTCATGTGCCATATATTCTGTACTGATCAAATTCTGCACTAGTAAAATGCCTTATTTCCATGTTGTTTAAAGGTTTCCCTTTTTGTCTGTGCATGCTTCTCGTGCATGTTAACCACCTACTTTCCATGAAAACCGTGCCACATTTGATTTGCATTTTTCTGTTTTAGTTCCACAAACTGTAAGTTGTTTTCATTGATATATTCTCAGGGCCGAAAGATGTCTAAAACACTGGGAAATGTCATAGATCCCATTGATACTATTAAGGAATATGGAACAGATGCCTTGCGTTTTACAATTTCTCTGGGGACAGCTGGTCAGGTTTGTTTTGCAACTAGAACAGCTGTTGTCACGTGATCTAATGTTTGTTAAAGCACCTGTCTTTTCACTACCAGTTGCATTGTTTCAGGATCTTAATCTGTCTATGGAGAGATTGACTTCAAACAAAGCTTTTACCAACAAGTTGTGGAACGCTGGCAAGTTTGTATTACAGAGTTTGCCAAGCAGAAGTGATGCTTCTGCATGGGATCAGCTACTGTCTTATAAGGTTATTTCTTTAACCTTCTCCTCCATTGATTTTGGCATAACGTAGTGGTGAAAATGGTGAATCTCTCAGCATATAGTGGCTAATGATACCTTCTCTTTGGTTCAGAATCTATTGTCTTCAATTAATGTGCTGTGATCTGGCAAAGGTCTGGGCGTTTGTGTCAAAGGAACATTCTTTTATTATTCTTCGCTTATGTTGAATGGTTATTAACATTCTTTTCATGACAGTTTTCCACTATGCACACACAGACACAAAGAGGGGAGGATGGTTACTATAAGCAAATTCACAAACACATGCATACAGACAGACAATGACCTACACACGTGAGACACACAGACAACTACTGTAAAAAATATTCATGTGAAGTAGTAAATCTGATCTTGGTTGCTGGGGTTGACGGCAATTTAATCATAAAATGTAAGTATGTCATTAACCAATATTACATATTTAGCTCGTGAAAATTTTGAAATGATCGCTATAATAGTGAAAATACTATGCTTCAGGTCTAATAGGTAGGGGTGGAAATGAACAAATAAGTAACAAATGGTTCGATAATTGTTCGAGTAACTATTCGGCCATCTTCGATTCGGTAGTTCATTTACCACTAAACAAATAATTTTTAGTATTCGAGTTTACTAACAAATAGAATTTAACCAGATGTATATTCTATTCGTTTGTCTATCAAATATTCATTCAAAATTTGATCACTTATTATTTGTATTATTGCACATATGATGTCATATTTTTAACTCACTTACCATTTCTACTTAAGTTTTATGTACTAATTTTGAGACTTAAATAATCTTAAATCAGTTTTCTAATAAAATTTTTGATTTAAATATATATACATCATATATTATAAAGGAATAATTTTTATTTATGAATTTAATTACTATTTGAAAATCAAATTCTCTAGCGGAATAAATATACTTTGAAATTCGATAAGTATTCATGAATATTTATCAAATAACAAGTATTCGAGTTTAAATTCGAAAAACTCCATATTTAAATATTAGAGTCCGCATTCGAATTTGATAATTTTAAACAAATACAAATACAAACACCTGAGTATTTGATTCGATTTTATCGCTTACCACTCCTACTAACAGGGTAGTTGTAGGTCTGCATAGACTGTGTACATATTCCTTTTCAAAGCCGTAAAATTGATCTTGGTTTTCAGGTTTGGCTGTTAGTTTATCAATAAAGCTAAGGATGTCAGTAACCAATATAACAGATTAAGATCATGAAGCAAATTTGAAACAAATTCAAAACAAATTCACACACGCAACACACACACCACTATTGTAAACAAAATTCTCAAGATACTATAAAAGTATTCTTTGTTATTGGATTGGCTGTTGACCCATCATAAAATCCATGAATGTCATAAATAGTAGATCATGAAATTCTTCAAAGCGTCATAGTTTTGTCCTTGTAAAGTATCCCGAGCAAACTCAACAGTTAACACTTTCCACATGTGAGCGTTTAGACCTCGTGGAAAGCTCTCCAGAATATGCATGACTCATACAGAAAGGTGGATATGGGAACAAATAAACATATAGTAAAATTGTTATGATGAGGTTGAATCAGGGACCTCTTGAAAGCTGGTGTTTTGAGACCACATCCAAAATTTAACTCAAAAGCTTTACATAATGCGTTGTGAGGTAACAGCCTGTAGCACACAAACTTAACTCTCATAAACCCAAAATAATCAAGATTTATACAACTGAAGCTGGGATTAAATTCTGAAACATGTCTGCTCCAAGTTGATCTGGGGACAAGAGGGTCATTGTTTTAAATATCTCTGATAAGGCTTGCTGCTAAACAATATGGTCACAATATTCTTTACCGCTTTTTAGAAATTTTTGAGTGATATCCCTAACATGGTTGATATATCGGCTGACCGATACATCAGTCGATATGTTGGCCAATATATCCTTTTATAATGTTTCTCATAAAAAATATAGTTCTGCAGAATTTCTTTTATGTTTTTAGTAAAAATTCCAACGCTATGAAGTTTTTTAGCAAATTGTAGCAGGCTTTTTTTCCTAATTAAGTTTCTACAATTGGTTGGCGATCCTAAACATATATTTCTTAATTTTATATGCTTAAATTTTTTTAATTATGTTTAGATTGTACTTTAGGACATTAAATTATATATGCACATCATCCAATGTGGCCAGTGTTACGTGGGTACTTCTATTAGGAAGTCGTACTTGTATCTGTCACGTACCTGTACCCAAACCTCCTGGACACTTCTTGAATATATGCATATATTTACTAGCATGTACTCAATTATATAATACATGTTTTAATTTAAAACACTCCCCATACTCTTCTTGGATGTACATGTTACACTTCACATTTATTTCTTATATATTAATCTTTTGTAAATGAAAAAAAAATAATATTGATCTTATGTAAATTATTAATTTTAATACATATAAATATACATACCATGCATATATATAGCCGTATCCCATGCCCTACCTTTACAAAATTGCCATGTCTTGTACCCATACCCACACCAGTGCTCGTACCCTACTCGTGCAACCTAGAACATGGCACCCTAGATTTACTACATATGCCTAATATTTCCCTAATATCCGAAATCTAATATGAATTTTGATCATTCAATGTTTCCCTGATATCCTATATATCGGGGATATTTGAAGCAATGACCCTCTTGACCTAATAGCCGAAATCCAGTATGGATTTTGATCATTCAATATTTCCCCAATATCCGATATATCGGGGACAAGGGGCTTATTATTACATTAGTTTTTGCAGTTGTATAATAATTTCTTAGCATTCCCTGGAAGTTAGAGCTGGTAGAGGCTTAGATGAAGCTCAAAGGACGTGGTTTTTGATGTCACAGCCTTATTAATAAAGTTGATCACTTGAGCTGAGTAGTTGAAGTGAAAAATAAAAATATTTTTAAGGCACATATGGTCAGTTACTCAGTTGGATATTTATTTCATGTTTTCTGTCTGATTAAAGTATTTCTAGCTTTTCCATTAAAAAAAGTATTTTCAGCTTTGCACATTTGGGTTCTATTAATGGTTTCATGAATTTATTTATCCAGTTTGATACGGAGGAATTGCTTCTCAGACTACCATTGTCTGAGTGTTGGGTGGTAAGCGAAGTATGATATTTGTATCTTTTGGTGTATTAATGATTTACTGAGAACACATGTAACTCAAGGTTTCAGAACTACATGAGCTCATTGACAATGTTACCGCAAGCTATGACAAGTTTTTCTTTGGAGATGCTGGTAGAGGGATCTATGATTTTTTCTGGGGTGATTTTGCTGACTGGTAATATGAGTTTACACTTATGGTTTGATGTTCATACACACTGCTGTGTTAGCTTGTTTCTTCAATTCAATCCTTATTTTTATCACTTGAAAATTTCTAGGCTGCTTTTTTTTAAACATGATTCTCTCATAGAAGATTCCGTGGGTCAGTTTATTTTGCTTTTGGATGAACCAATCAAGCAGCAGCAGTGTTGAATGTGGACAAACTCGTTAATATTTTTTATGGTGATTTACATGTAGTACCATACTTTTGTAATATGGCTAAGAAAACGAACAATTATCTCTTTTACCATGCCTACAGGATTTAGGTTTTTGTAATTTAGTTGACCTTCTATGTTTTCTTCATACTCCTTTTTTTATCCTTTTTGTGTTTATTTTTATCATGCACCTGTTTTCTTCTGTTTTTGGCTTCATTTTTTTTGCACCTAAGAGCTTAAACTTGGCTTACTAGGTATATTGAAGCTAGCAAAGCCCGTTTTTACGACTCCGAAAACCAGACGGACGCTATTATAGCTCAAGCAGTTATTTTGTATGTGTTTGAGAATATACTGAAGCTGCTTCATCCTTTCATGCCATTTGTCACTGAAGAGTTATGGCAGGTAAGACTTAGTAGCTAACTCGTGGCTTACTAGCTGAAGAATCTCATAATGTTTCATAAATGTTGTTTAATCAGTTCTATTCTGTGATGCCTTCATGATTTACTAACTTATGTTGGCCAGATCAAATATTTCCAGAGCCTATTATTATTTTCTTTGGTTTATTTTAACTGTTATCAAATATTTCACGAAAAAGACTGCTTATGTGGAGATAAATAACTCCGTGCATGAATCATATTTGGATAATTAATTAGTCTATCTTCTTTTGCCTGATGGAACATGGTTATGCCAGGTTCAGAATAGTATAATGGTTGAAAGATTATCCCTGGTGATGGGACTGAAAAATGAGAACATAGTTATGCCAGGGTTCAGAATAGTATAATGAATTCAAAGATTATTCCTGGTGATATGTATTTGGACTGAAAAATGGGCCTATTCATCTTAGGTAAACCTGTTTGTTCATTTTCCGAATTGTTTTATGAATGATACTAGTATTGCATAGGCTACTTATTCCTAGCAACAGTCATGGTACCTATGAGAAAACACAATAATCACGATTTTACTAGGAACACCTGTTGGTGTTTATCTGAAAACAATTAACTCGTTATGTTATTCATATAAAGTTATTTGAAAAAGAAATTGATCTTTTACTAGAAAGTAAATTTTATTTTAGGGTAAATTACACTAAACCCTCGTGAACTTTCAGTGTTTTGTAATAAACCCCTATGACCTTTCATAATCACACTAAACCCCCATGAACTTTTCGGAATTGCAGAAAACCCGAATGAACTTTCTGTGTTTTGTAGATAACCCCCTTAAATCAGAACCAAAAAATGACATTAAAGTCATTTTGAAAGTTAATGGGGGTTTAATGTAAGTTACCTAAAAGTTCATGGGGGTTTTCTGCAAAAGTTATAAGGGGTTTAGTGTGATTTTGAAAGTTCATGGGTTTACAATTCACTGAAAGTTCATGGGGGGTTTACCTTTATTTTACTACTTCCCGTTATGAAGTTAATTTAAAATAATGAATTGCTTAAACTATGTGTATCTCATTTAGATGAGTATTGAAAAGGTGATGTTGTACATGATAGAAATATTTAATGAGTTATTTTAAAGAATGTTTATATCATGAAGATTCTATCTCTTACTCATTCAAACAAGCATTCTGCATACAAATGTTAAAGATTGTTACCCAAAAGAATATATCTTTGAATTCTCATGTCAAAACAAGCATTCTGCATACAAATGTTAAAGATTGTTACCCAAAAGAATATATCTTTGAATTCTCATGTCAAATAAAATGCAGGGTTCTTATCCCAATAAGATTGTTACCCAAAAGAATATATCTTTGAATTCTCATGTCAAATAAAATGCAGGGTTCTTATCCCAATATTCCCAACTATTCGGATAAATCATTCTGGATCTTCTCTGATATTATCGTATAATGCTTTATATTCTTATATGTGATAAAATTTTAATGAGCTACTTAAAAGGAATGATGATATCATGAAGATCCTATTCTTTACTCATTCATACTAGCACCCTGGATAGAAATCTTATTTTCAGCGGAAGAAGAATAGATGCAATTCTATGAATTCTCGTATCAAATAAGAATGCAGAGGATTCTCATCTCAACTACCTAGACAAGCATCTGGGATCTTATCTGATAATCATATCTTATGATGCTTCATATAATTCATGTACAGGCATTGCCAAACAGAAAGCGGGCCCTTATAGTATCTAATTGGCCTCAGACTTTGCTTCCGAGGGACGTTAAGTCTATCAAAAAATTTGAGAATTTGCAAGCCTTGGTAAGTTTCAGTCTAGCTTTTGCAGAGTTCTATTTTATTTTTTATCTTTCTGGAATGGCTTTGGATCCCATAAATAATGGTTTTCGTTATTCCTTTTGTATATTGGGCTACAGACTAGGGCCATCCGCAATGCACGAGCGGAGTATTCTGTTGAGCCAGCAAAACGGATATCTGCATCTATTGTTGCAAGTACTGATGTCCTGGACTATATATCTGTAAGTCTTTCTCAGAAATTCACTTGATCATGTAAACACTTTGGGTGTTTGGTTCTTCAGAACACGAGAATAATTGAAAGCAAGATACGAGGATCCTCGTTTTCTAAATAGTAAAAAAATTATAGGTGTTAAGTTTCTACTCCACTATTTATGCATTTTCGAACCATTTTCTCTCCTAATATAAATGCGCAAATAATCCTATCTCGAGTGTGTTGGATGTAAATTGGAATGAGCAAAATCCCCTTTACTGTTTACTTCATTTTCATTCTTTCTTTATGATGGTAGTCTTATACTTGTCTTGGCCTTCTGGATAAATTTGCAATGGTAGCATGCATGGATATAGGCAACCAGGTATATGATAGCTCAGCTGCCTCTTGATATTTTAAATTGGTTTATGATTTATGCTTCCAATCCCAAAAATTTGGTATTTGTTGTCGTTAAATTAGCTAGGGTAGCTACAGAAATACATAATTTTATCTTATAGCTTGTTTCAGTAATTATGCATTGTTGTTTGCGTACTCCTTGTCTGTCCTATCATTATAAATTTGTTTTTGCATATGCATTCATTTGAAATATGTCATTCACTTCAGTATTTGCCCACTAATGGATTCAGGTCCTAAATGCTTCATTTTTCAGTATAAATAATAATTATTTCTATTTTTCTGCATTTCAGTTATTGGAAAGTGAAAACAATTGAAAAAAATATATGCTTCTGGTTCTTTCTCTATGAACCGATTAAATTAGAAATTACCATTTTCTCATCTGACCCCTCCTGCCATATCCAGACTCTAAATTGATCATTTTTGACTGTTTTGGAAATACTAGAAGATATTGTTGCTCTCTTTGCGCATGTAAATTTGCTATGAAGAAATACCTCTCTCTCTATCCAGACTCTAAATTAGTCGTTGGTGATTGTTTGGAAATACTAGAAGAATATTTTTGCACTCTTTGCTTATGGAAATTTGGTATGAAGAAATACCTTCACAGTATGCAAGTGTTTATTGTTTAGCTATGACTAATAAAGTATCCAATGCCACCTGGGATTTGTATGCATGGTCTGTATTGAAAATTTACAATGCCTTTTCACTTATGCTTGCTTTCTGGGTGGTTGTAACTTCTATGCATTCTTACTGTTGACAGAGTGAAAAACAAGTCTTAGGTCTGCTGTCCAGACTAGATCTCCAAAATGTTCATTTCATTGAAACAGTCCCAGGTATATTTATGTACATTTCTTCCTTTAACTGTCCAAGTTTGCTAGCTTTCAGCTTTAGAATATGTTTTGAAACGTATATCAATCTTATTCTCCAGACTATGCAAAACAATCAGTCCATCTTGTGGCTGGAGAAGGTTTGGAAGCATATCTCCCTCTGGCAGATATGGTGGATGTATCAACCGAAGTTCAACGGCTTTCTAAGCGCATTCTGAAGATGCAATCAGAATATGATGCTCTCATTGCTCGTCTCAGTTCTCCTAGTGTATGATATTTCTCCTACGCTTGCGTAAATGCAGTTATATTTTGGGTTAATTGCAGTTAGACCCCCTCAACTATCCCCTGGATGAAAATCTGGACCCCCTTGAAAAGGCTCAACAATTTCCACTCAGGGGGCCTCTCTGCAACCATTGAACTGCAAGGGTAGTAAGTTCAATTTGGCGGTAGTACAAGTGGTCTATCCGCAATTAAACATTATTTTACTGTTTTTTGTGAATTTCCTCAATGTTGAGCTAGAACATTGAGGCCGCACATGAACATCGCATGGTGCACATGCATGCACTGGCAACCGTGCGCAGGGGGGTGGGTGGGGGGGATCAGGTGGGGTGGTATGTGATTTACAAAAATGGATAATTCTGTAGTGACTTACAAACTGAGTAGTTGGAAACAGATTAAGGAAATAGCTACATATAGTTAGAGAAATTCAATTCATAAAAGCTTACAATTCGAAGGTCAAATGTGCTCTACATGAAAAACATGCAAAATGAATTCTGAAATTTTAATTTCATATGATAACAGTAAGAGAAACTGGTATGGGATATCTTGTAATCTACCTGAATGTTCTTTTGTTTTAGAGGGGTTTTTGCATATACATACCCCAAATTACTCTAAAACACATCTTTTTTGATTTGTCAGTAGAGAGTGCAGCATAAATACATCATTATGAAAATATTGAAGCATCCAATTAATTATTGAGCAATTATAGCTAAAGGCTACTACATACCATACAAATCATGTTTTTGATGCCATCAACAATCATGCAACTATTTCAAAAGTTGACAAATCATTGGGGTGGTTTGCAAATGTCATTTTCAAGATAAATTAAGTGTCACTTTCAAGATAAATGTTTTCACTTTTTTTGGAAGCTGCCTGTGTTAATTCTGACAATACTTTTGGAGTGGGGAGTAATTTTTTCTTTTTTTAAAAAAGTCATTTCATAGATGATAATATTTGGTTGAGTTTTTCGATTTTGAGGCCCTATCCTCTCTTTCAAAAAATTCTTGATATTATCAAATGCGACTTTTGATATAATTGTTTTAGTATGTTTGAGAGAAGGGCCAAAACTGCCCCTCAAACTTTCTGGCTAGTCCACTGTGTGCACGTGTGTGCAACGTTATCTGCTAGGATGTTACATAAATGGAAGTCGTAGATATATATTAGGATTCATATGTTGGTGTCAACTAGACAAGGATGAACAATGTCACATGGTTATCTTTCATGCTGCAGTTTGTAGAGAAGGCACCTGAAGAGGTGGTTCGTGGAGTTAGGGAAAAAGCAACCGATGCAGAGGAGAAGTTGAAGCTGACAAAGAACCGCCTTTCCTTGCTTGAATCATCGGTTTCTGTACGGGGCTAAATGATTTTGTACTTCTTTTGAGTTTTTCATATGAGGCTTTCTTTTCCTCCCAATTTGGAGGTTAATTGCTGCCAATATCACCACGTTTGCTCCTCTGGCCATATTGATCAAAAATGCAACAGCGAAATGATTGCATTCAAGGAATTAGGTGTTCTTTAGCACAGATTATTCTTGAGCTATTTGCAGATTTGTTCATCTGCCAGTTTTTGTACTACGGGTGTACCTTGATAGAATTCATCTTTTGATTATTATTATTATACTGTCTTATACCAAATTCTTGTATACGAAACAAGCATGACATTTTTCCTCGATTCTGTAGACTTGAGGTGCTTTTTTATTGTGCCGGTCTTTCCTCTTAAGGAAAATAACCTTTGGCTCGCTCGAGTTGCAACTCGCGTGAGCCAAAGCAGGGGGTGGGTTGAGCAGGGGGTGGGTCCGCAACTCGCGCAAGCCAAATAGCAGGGCTCTTCCTCTAAATCCTTGTGTTTTCTGATCATTTGCCATGACGTTGCCTTTGTGAAAGTGTGTGCTCGTTACTTGCTTTAAAGTGTGTAGTACAGAGAAATGGTTGTCATTTTTCTAAAAAAATCACTTTTGCAATATTATTATTTTTTCATTCTGCTGGGATGTCTGTTTTAAAGACAAAGCATAATAAGTTTTTTTTTTTTTGCTGGCAAGGGAAACCTGGTCACCCCAGCTCAATTTTACTCCCTTTGGGAGTCCCGCCAGCGGCCCTTGATCGATTCCCCGCGGTCCCCAATTTCCTGCAAGGAGCTACCCTTACTACCAGGGGCTCATCCCCACAGTGTGGGCGAACAGGTAGTGGACCACAAGGACGCGACCTGGTGATCATACTAAGTTGGCCGCTGTGAGGACGTCTTTTCTGTTCCTGGCGAATAGAGAGGCTATAAATTGTGTTCGTTTGTTTTATTGTCTGCGGAAAATTTCTAGATGGCCCACTATGGAAAATAATATTGGAAGGAGATCCCCCAACAACTGTTACGTCATATATTCTGAGCTTGGTGATATTGTATTTGATACAATATTTGGATCTTATAGATACAATACTCATGATCGTACTGTACGCTTTTCCACTGAAGTATAACTACAGAACAGGCGCTCAAACTAAGCTGCACAGGATGGACAAAAGCTAGCAAAAACTATCCAAGATATCTATATACAATGATAAGGAATTTTCACTCCCTCCTGAAGCTTTTTTCCACCGTCAGTGAGGTTATTATTATTATTTTTTCTAAATTGTTTGATTAGCTTTTTTATTTTTTTCATTATGAAAAATTGAGATTAGATCTCCGATTGCTGCATGGGCAGTGAGCACTTTAGAGTTGCCGAATACCCTGAATTCTTAAGGAAACAAAGCTCCAATTTCATTATCATAATTAATAAGGACATATCAAGGAAGATGAGATATCACGAGGACATATCAGGGAACAAGAGATCTCATGAGCTTGGTCTTAATTTGTGTCGGATATTTTGTTTTCTCAAAAAATTCTTACAGAATTCATATCCAGCAAGAAAATTAATGCTGCCTGCTTTGTTGCTGGGGACGAGTCTGCCGAGGAAGTTAGGTCGTCTTTGCGCGCTGGCTACAGTGGGAACAAAGAAATTAAAAAAAACCATTTATATGATTATCAACTTCATCCTGAACATTTTTGCATTTCTCTACAGTTGTCATTTTCTGGGATGTATAACTCGATAAACAATATCTCAAGCTTCTTTCTGAATTACAGTTTGATCTCTCTACTTTAATGGGGCTATTAGAAAAACCTTAATTTCCGCACAGTGATTGAAATAGACAAGTGTGTGTATATCAATATAGGGGGAAAACTCTGTCTATAGAAAATCGCATAGAAAGGAAAGAGATCGTGCAACGATACAAAGTATATGTACAATTAGAATATTTTATCAGAACAATAATGGATATCATTATGATCAGATTGTTGCATCAATGTAATTATCAACTTTGAAAAATATATTGCCACACATTTCTCCTTTTAAGATTTTTGTAGAGGAGCCTCTATAAGATTACTTTTCCTACTAGTGCTTGTCTAGTGAAGAAAGAGGGGTTTGCATTTTGGCAAGAATATGAATGTGAAAATATGCTCTAAAGAAAACGGCAACAATGCTCTTACCTTAAAATTCCATAAACACCCCATTTTAAGGCAAGCAAAAGTACTAAGTATAGAATATCCACGACAATGTCTGAAAGCAAACAAACATAAATCTAAGTTTGCATGCTATTTCTTTGAAAACAATACATAATACATGCATGTGATCCAATAGTTTAAAGGAGATGACCATGATGGTTGCTGTTATTGTTCACCGGAAAAAGACATATCCTCAGCATCTTCAAAAGGGATAAAGAAGTCCAATCATGCACTTGATATTGTATTCATCTTTTTTTTTTTTTTTTGGTTGGGGTTGGGCGGGGGGGGGGTGTTTAGCACACCTCGAGTGAGAAGAAGCACAAAGACAAACACATCAAGCTACTTTCTTTCTTATTGGACAGAACCAAAGAAAGAAATTGGAAGACAAGCATCTCATTTTTCCAACAATAGAATACAATAGGAAATCCCCTCTAGCAATCAGCAGGAAAACAACATCTTGTCTCCATGCCAACGCATTAGATTAATCTTAGATTCCTCTCTCAATCATATGATAAGCTTAACTCAAGTTCATATTAAAAGTTGATGATCACAAACACTTATGTTTCACATGATTCCAAGCATTCTATTTAAGATTCATTCTCACAAAGAAATATTATTCAATTCAAAATAATATGTACAAAATTCCAGTTCATACAATTTTCTGGGAGTCGAACTGTATTAGGCTCATAGATGTTCAACAATATTATTTAACCTCAAACACCACCATAACATTCACATATTACAATAAAAAACCCAACCCCATTTCATAATTCAATATCAAGAATCAATAGCAATAACAAACTGAAAATTACACTCCATCATTCAGAACCTTGTGCTGGCATTTCTTTTCTGTAAGCCTGCAATCGCTCCTTAAACTTCTTGCTCTCCTCAAAGTTTGCCTTCCTCTTCACCGCTTTCTGGTGCAAACAAATGATACATTTTCACAGATCGCATAACCTTATAAACCAAATTATTAACACAAAATAGAAGAGCTCAATCTCACTTCTTGGCGGAAGCATTTGTCAAGCTTTATCTTGAGCTCAGTACATTTTCCAAAGAATTTCCCAACTGGATGATCGGTATGACACTTTTGAAACTCCTCAATTATCTAAAAATCACAATTTGAGAAAACCCAAGTCAAAAAATTATCTAGTTAGATGAAATCAATCAATAAAAATGAAAAAATTTAAAAATTTACACACATCAGCACACATGGGATGCCTGTGTAAAGTCAGAGGAGGATGCATTTGAACAACCTACAAAATAAATTACTCTGAACAAAATTAACAAAATATCTCATGAAATTATTTATTTAATAGAGAGAGAAAAATAGTTACCTGCAAAATCGCTTGGGATTAAGAAAAGGGGGAATCAAATTTAGGCTTCAGAGGTCGATTTTAGCCACAAAATAAGTTGCATAATGGGTCGGATCTAAACAAGATTCATATCCGTTACTAAACCTGATTTCATTAACAACTACAAACAGGGGTAGTTGCACATTAGTCCCATAAATGATAAATCAATTTGTAATCATATATGATACAAATGAAACTACAATTACACCATGAATGAAAATAGTGGCATTCACTATCGTTTAGATACATGATGACTTGAAACCAGGCATGCCTAATTCACAAATGAAACTACAAGCGCACCATGAATGAAAATAGTTGCATTAACTGTAGTTAAGATACACGATGACTTGAAACCAAGCATGCGTAATTCATGGTGCTAGTAACTATGATGTGATTACATGTTTTTCTTCTGAAGGTCAGAAAACCTTCTTGTGGTGGTTTGTCAGTTGGTTTCATGGCCATCTATCAAAGCTCAAGAGCTACCTCAGATCAAATTCCAGCACCCAGAGAAATCTTTGTCACCTCCATCATTCAGATCATAAAGAGCGAGAACGAAGGCAGTCTTCAAAGAGCTGACTGAGATTTGTTTTGTTCTGTGCATAATGTATGCATTGTCCAACAATGTCACTTTGTCTTTCAGCTTTATGGTCAATGTCAGTTTTCCGCTTCTGTGTGCAATGTATACAGTGTAACTGATGTATATGGGAGATAAGTTAATAGACTAGTTCACGTGCATAAAAACATAGTGCCATTTCAAATTTAAGGTTTCTAGATATTAGTCCCTTAAATCTTCAATAATTGCATACTAGTCCCTTAAATATTGAAAATCTATCAAATGGCTAATTTCATCTAGCGACAAACTTAGACAACTTAGAATATATAATCAATAAACTCTAAATAAAAATAAAAGTAAACAACAAGAACTGCAATTACACACAGCAAAACCAGTTTTCTTGATCTCTTAACTAAAAAATTGATTAAACTATTACCATATTATAACTGAGTAGAAAATTACTTTGTGGCAAACATGAACTGAAAATCAAAACAAAGAACATCAATTTGTAATCATATATAATACAAATGAAACTACAATTACACCATGAATGAAAATAGTGGCATTCACTATCGTTTAGATACATGATGACTTGAAACCAGGCATGCCTAATTCACAAATGAAACTACAAGCGCACCATGAATGAAAATAGTTGCATTAACTGTAGTTAAGATACACGATGACTTGAAACCAAGCATGCCTAATTCATGGTGCTAGTAACTCTGATGTGATTACATGTTTTTTTCTGAAGGTCAGAAAACCTTCTTGTGGTGGTTTGTCAGTTGGTTTCATGGCCATCTATCAAAGCTCAAGAGCTACCTCAGATCAAATTCCAGCACCCAGAGAAATCTTTGTCACCTCCATCATTCAGATCATAAAGAGCGAGAACGAAGGCAGTCTTCAAAGAGCTGACTGAGATTTGTTTTGTTCTGTGCATAATGTATGCATTGTCCAACAATGTCACTTTGTCTTTCAGCTTTATGGTCAATGTCAGTTTTCCGCTTCTGTGTGCAATGTATACAGTGTAACTGATGTATATGGGAGATAAGTTAATAGACTAGTTCACGTGCATAAAAACATAGTGCCATTTCAAATTTAAGGTTTCTAGATATTAGTCCCTTAAATCTTCAATAATTGCATACTAGTCCCTTAAATATTGAAAATCTATCAAATGGCTAATTTCATCTAGCGACAAACTTAGACAACTTAGAATATATAATCAATAAACTCTAAATAAAAATAAAAGTAAACAACAAGAACTGCACTTGCACACAACAAAACCAGTTTTCTGGATCTCTTAACCAAAAATTGATTAAACTATTACCATATTATAACTGAGTAGAAAATTACTTTGTGGCAAACATGAACTGAAAATCAAAACAAAGAACATCAATTTGTAATCATATATAATACAAATGAAACTACAATTACACCATGAATGAAAATAGTGGCATTCACTATCGTTTAGATACATGATGACTTGAAACCAGGCATGCCTAATTCACAAATGAAACTACAAGCGCACCATGAATGAAAATAGTTGCATTAACTGTAGTTAAGATACACGATGACTTGAAACCAAGCATGCGTAATTCATGGTGCTAGTAACTATGATGTGATTACATGTTTTTCTTCTGAAGGTCAGAAAACCTTCTTGTGGTGGTTTGTCAGTTGGTTTCATGGCCATCTATCAAAGCTCAAGAGCTACCTCAGATCAAATTCCAGCACCCAGAGAAATCTTTGTCACCTCCATCATTCAGATCATAAAGAGCGAGAACGAAGGCAGTCTTCAAAGAGCTGACTGAGATTTGTTTTGTTCTGTGCATAATGTATGCATTGTCCAACAATGTCACTTTGTCTTTCAGCTTTATGGTCAATGTCAGTTTTCCGCTTCTGTGTGCAATGTATACAGTGTAACTGATGTATATGGGAGATAAGTTAATAGACTAGTTCACGTGCATAAAAACATAGTGCCATTTCAAATTTAAGGTTTCTAGATATTAGTCCCTTAAATCTTCAATAATTGCATACTAGTCCCTTAAATATTGAAAATCTATCAAATGGCTAATTTCATCTAGCGACAAACTTAGACAACTTAGAATATATAATCAATAAACTCTAAATAAAAATAAAAGTAAACAACAAGAACTGCAATTACACACAGCAAAACCAGTTTTCTTGATCTCTTAACTAAAAAATTGATTAAACTATTACCATATTATAACTGAGGAGAAAATTAGAAATCTACTTTGTGGCAAACATGAACTGAAAATCAAAACAAAGAACATCAATTTGTAATCATATATAATACAAATGAAAGTACAATTACACCATGAATGAAAATAGTGGCATTCACTATAGTTAACATACACAATGACTTGGAACCAGGCATGCCTAATTCACAAACACAAATTGAAATGCAACACAAGCCATTCAACACATTAGTTATAAATTAGAATGCTTATGAAATATATTTGGCAAGTTATCCCTCTGCGGGTTCACAAAGTAATGGTTTTACGTCTCTTATGCATTCTACTCCTTTTTCAAGACTACCTTCTTCAGAAGAATTAATGTGATTTTTCCAAAACATATGCTGAAATAATTTGATTCACCAATTTGAGGAAAACATAACACAAATAGGCACAAATTGCGAGCATTTGGATGTGTGAATCCTCTACTTCTCCTTCAAAAGAGTACAGGATAATGTTCATCTATAGCTTTCAAGCAATAAAGAAAAAAAATCAAATACATATCAATCACCGATACTAATTTATCTGCGGATCATTTCAGCAAACACCTAGCAAGCATAAACTAATTAAAAATCAATGGGTTTTGATGAAGCACGGGATAATGCTCATCTAAACCAAGAAGCACGGGATAATGCTCATGTAAACCAAGCAACAAAATTTGCGAGGAAATTTAACATTAGATCGTTGAGGGAGGAAAAACCCTAACAACCCCTAGAATTCCGTAGGAACTGGGATCAGATCTCACCTCTGAACTCGACCAAACAAGCAGCCACCACCAAATCTAAAGCCGAAACCCTAGAAGTGGACGCTCGGGCGAAATCTAGACCGCCGAGATGCTCGAGGTCGAAGATGGTGAAGAAAATCAATGGCGGCGACGAGATCGAGGGCGAGTCGCCGAAACCCTAGAAGTGGACGCTCGGGCGAAATCTAGACCGCCGAGATGCTCGAGGTCGAAGATGGTGAAGAAAATCAATGGCGGCGACGAGATCGAGGGCGAGTCGTTTGAAAACGACGAAAGGGGGGAGAGAAGGAG